GTTTGCGCAAGCCGCTCTGATATACGGCACGTCTATGTCCTGTTGGGCTGGCATGTGTTTAAGGATTGGCCTGGCGAAAGCTGGTTCGGCGGCGTGACTGGGGAGAAAGTCAGAAGGGGCTCGGAAGTATCCTGGACTTCTGAAAAGTTTGGCGAAGGTTTCTGAGAAGTCCCGCCGCCTTCTGAGAAGGCCTTCTCGTTCTCGCTTCACCTCCTCGCTCGCCGCCGACTGATGAATGCGCAATTCACGCATCCCTCATCTTCTCAGCCTCTCCTCCTCTCCATCGCCAAACCCTTCGAATGTTTGGCTCGTAGGCGTGCGCTACAGAAACCCTGTTGCGCCTCCAGCCTCTGCTCCTTCCAGTATGCCAGCAGCGAGGCTGGATTGTGCAAGCATTTTGGTTGGCCATTCTGAACATACGAGTTTTTCTAGCACTCAGCGTGGTCAACACTACGAAGCACGAGGAAGAGAAAGAGAAGGAGATGGCTGTCTAGCGCGCACTTCTAAGCGGTCCACTCCTCCTCCTCCTCCTCCTCCTCCTCCTCCTCCTCCTCCTCTGCCTCTTCCGTCTCCCCGCTTTCGCATTGCGGGATTGCCGCCTCTCCTCCTGGGACCCGCGCAAGGCCAGCCTCCTGCGCAAGGGGTGGAACGTGGTGGTGATCGCCCTCATCACCTACACCTCGACCATCTTTCCGTTCAGGTTGGTCACGTCAAGGGAGGCAGGGAGGAGCCGGTTGTTGCGCCCGTCTCTACCACAGCGTTGCCAGAAACGGATTCGCAAGCGCGATGGGCGCGAGACAGAGAGAAAGAGGGAGAAAGAGAGCGAACATGCAAAACAAGCACACAAACAAAAATGAACGAGATTTGTTCGCAAGACGGCACGAGCACAGATGTTATTCAGGGTTGCGGATTGCCCATGGCGGAGACCTAGAGGCTAGCACCAACACCAGTATCGACGCTTGCCTCCACCGAGGGAAGAGGATCCTGATCTCGGTGGTGGTGGTGGTGGTACTATTCGGGCTTCCTCGGTGGCCGAGAGACGGCCATCAGGACCAGAATCCAGGGCCCTCTCTTCCCGTCGGAGGCAGCCCCCTTTGTTGGCGTCGGCGGCGGCGGCGCTCCCGGGCCCCCAGCGTGGGGTGCTGCCGAGTGTCCCCTCCGCCTGATCGCCCTCTCCGCCCTCCGCCTCCTCCTCCTCCTCCTCCTCCTCCTCCTCCTCCTCCTCCTCCTCCTCCTCCTCCCTCCTCTCCGCCCTCTCCGCGCCCTCCGCCCTCCGCCGCCGACAAAGGTGCTGTTGCCCTCAGAGTTCCCTGGCAGGAGCGGCCGACCTGCAACGCTCCGTGGCCGCAGGCGCCTGCTGGGCCAGTGGCCCCCTGCAGTGGGGCCACTGGCCGCAGAGTTTCCCGAAGGAAGCACCTGCTCTGCCGGGGCTCCCTGAGAGGAGCCGCAGTGTCTTTGGGCGCCCTCTCCTCCTCCCTGGCGGGTGGACCCCGGGGCCTTCCCCCAGAGCGGGTTCTGTTTCATCCTGACTCGTTTTCCGACGGTCCCGGGGCCTGCGGAGGGCCCCGAGAGCCCGAAAACGGCGAACAACTTCGGGACACGTTTCCCTCAGGACCCGTTCCCCCCATGGCGAAGAAAGATCTGACGCCACGAAGGAGGAGGAGGAGGAGGAGGAGGAGGAGGAGGGCTCCTTCCTTCCCCCTCCCTCTTCCCCCTTCCCCAGCCTTCCCTGCCTCATCTCCCCCCGTCGCCCCCGTTCCTCCCCAGGTCCTCCCCGCGTCCCTCCTGCCCCCCTGCATCCTACTCCCGCGCCTCCCTCTTCTCCTCCTCGCCCTGGGTCCCTCCCTTGAGCCCCAGGTTGTGCTTCATGGAGTTCAAGGTGCCAGAGCCGATCCCAGCGCCCGTCGAGTTCACTGTCCTCGAGACCCTCGTCGGCGGCTCAGATTCTTCGAGGGGAGGGGAGAAAGAGGAGGGCCAGGGGCCAGGGTACACCCGGGATGCATTAACGATGCCGCAATGCACGTTCCCGCTCTATATGCGTCTTCTCCTCACCAGTCTCCAGACGCCTTCGTTTCCACTACAGGAAGCGCCGCCCCGCACCCTTGAAAGACGAACACCGCATGGGCCTGCCATTCAAGTGAGAGCTCCGTTTTGAACAGGAACTGCTCTGCATCCTTCATTGCAAATGATACGGAACGCGATGAAGCATGACCGTAAAGTTCTACACGGTGTCCAGCGAGAGCCCTCCTCCTGTGAGAAGGATGGGAAATGGGAAGCAATCACGACATCGGGGGTCTGGGGAGCCGATGGCGAGGTGAAGGTGACGGAGAAGGAGAAGGGAGAACGTGGAGGAGGAGGTGGAGGAGGAGGAGGAGGAAGAGGAAGCGGAGGAAGGGGAGAACGGGGAGGAAGAAGGTCAGGATGATGCAGAGCATGAGAAGACGAGCGGAAGGGGGGGTCAGTGGACGAGTCGGGGGAGGAGGAACAACACGAGAGTGAGGAGGGGAAGAGGAGCAGGCGGCAGAGGAGGAAGCGGAAGATCACGGTGAGGAGGCGCAGCAGCTGAATCCCTCCCCCCCTTCCTCCCCGCGCCCCCTCCTCCCCCATCCCTCCCGTCCTCGCTCCCCCTCCTCGCTCTCCCTCCCCTCCCACTCCCCCCCCTCCCGGAGCATCCGGCTCGCACTGTTCCTGGGCACCCGGGGTGCAGACCGCGCGGCAGCTTCTGGAGCGTGTGAGCCTTCCTCTCCCCTGCCCTCCCCGGAGGAGGACCAGCGGGCGGTGCCCTTTTGCGATCCCCGCCGCCTCGGCCTCCTCGGGCGCCCGGCGGCAGCCCAGGTCGACGTGCTCTTCTGCTGCGACCTGCTCCTGAACTTCCTCTTCTCGTACCAGGAGCACCCGCCCGACCCGCCCCGTGCGCCCCGACCCGGCCCGAGCGCCGACCGACACGACCTCTTCGCGCTCAGGAGCACTGGTCCGACCCTCGTCGTCGTCCTCCCCCTCCTCCTCGATCTCGCCACCCTCCACCTCCGCCTCCCCTTCCTCCTGCATCCTCTCTGGTGTGCCTCCTCTTCCGTCCTGTCCTCGTCCTTCGCTTGGGCCGCCTCTTCCTGCTCCTCCTCTACCTCCTCGTTCTCCTCCCCAGGCAGGTGAGGCTAGACGCCAGCCCTCGTCCGACTCGAAGCCCTCGTCCTCCTCCGCCGTACCTCTGGCAGAGTAAGAAGGAAAGAAAGAGAGAGAGACAGAGAGAGAAACAAAAAACACATAAAACAAACACAAAAAACAAACGAAGAGAGAAAGAGCCCAGCTACTCCTCTGAATCTCCACGGGGCGCGTGCAGCTGCACATTGGACCAGGACGAGGGCCTTTTCCAACAGCTCCATCGATCGGGTCTCGTCCTCCCTTCTTCTCGTCCTCATCCTTGTCTTCCTCCTGCCCCCCTTGGACCTCCTCCTCCTCCTCCTCCTCCTCCTCCTCCTTCGCACCTCCTGACTCCTCCCTCCCCATCCTCAGCATCCTTCCTCCTCCTCTCTCCTCCCTCCTCATCCTCATCCTTCCTCCTCCACGCCCTCCTCCCGCATCCTCCCTGTCCTCTGTCCTCGTCCTTCGTCGTGCTCCTCCCCCTTCGTTCTCCGATGCTCGTCGTCGTCGCTGTCACCGTCTGCCGTCGGTGGCCCGTGGTCGTGGAGGATCGGGGAGGTTGCGGCGGAGCAAGAGGAGGAGAGAGGAGTCGAGAAGAGGACGAAGAGGAGGAGAGTCGGGGCGCTGAAGAAGAAACCCTCTTCGTTGGGGAAGGGCTCGGTGTTCCTTGAAGGTTTCAAAGTTTGCCTCGGGCTTTCCTGAGGTTTTCCACGGGAAATCGAGGTTGAACTTATGGGAAAAAGGGGCCTCGTTCCTTATTTGGGGTTCCTTAGGTCAACGCCCCGACTGTAGAGAGGATCCAGGTCCTTTGACAATCTTGCCCTTGGAGGGGGGGCCCAGATGCCTCCTTGGAGCCCTCCACGATTTCCTGGGGAGCTCAGGGGGAGACCTGCAGACGAGGATAATGGATGAGGAGGAGGAGGAGGAGGAGGAGGAGGAGGAGGAGGAGGAAGAGGACGAGGGAGGAAGGAGGAGGAGGAGGAGGAAATGGGGGGAAAGGGGGGGAAAAGGAGGAGGAGGAGGAGGAGGAGGAGGAGGAGGAGCAGCAGGAGGAGGACGAGGACGAGGACGAGGACGAGGACGAGGACGAGGAGGAGGAGGAGGAGGAGGAGGAGGAGGAGGAGGAGAGGCGTAGAGAGCAGATGCTCGCTCTGCGGGCGCATCGCTCTCTCCCCGTTTTGGGGCAGGTGTCCAAAGCGCCCTGCGGCCCAGGAGAGCGGTGTAACTTCGGCACGGAGAGGCAGGGGGAGCAGGCCGCGGCACCATCCGCACCAGCTCTGCCTCCTCCGCGGTGCCCCCCCCCCCTCCCAGAGAATCGGAGCGGGCGGCTTTGGGGCTGTTTGCTGGCCGCCGAGGGTCTTCGCCTGGCCGCGGGGCCGTCCAGGAGCAGCTCTCTGGACGAGACTCGGGCCGCAGAGGAGTGGTCCAGACCTCCGGGGCCCAGGCATCCACGAGGTGCGAGCAGGCCGATGTCTGGGCTCGCCCTGCGCCGCCGCGGCGCCAGGACGCCCACGGCCGCGAGATCTTCAGCCTGCCCAGCATCGCGAGGAGGTGCCCCCCGCTCGCCCCTCGGAGGTCGGGGGACCTCCTCCTCCTCCTCCGCCTCCTCCTCCTCTCTCCTCCTCCGCCTCCTCCTCCCCTCCTCCTCCTCCTCCTCCTCCTACTCCTCCTCCTTCCTCTCCTCCTCCTCCTCCTCCTCCTCCTCCTCCTCTTCCCCAGATGAAAGGCGGCATAAGCATGAACTGTCAGAGCTCCGCGCAGACGTGCTCCTCCAGGAGGGGGCTCGATGTGTACTACATCGGTGGCCAGCCCAGGGGGGGGGGAGGGGGAGAGGGGGCCTGGCCTTCTCAGAAGCTTCGGAAGTCCCCCGGCTTGCCGAGAAGCTTCCTGTGCCTGCCCCGAAGGACGCAGACGGCCTCCCAGAAGGCCCCGGGGGGGGGCTTCTGAGAGGTCCCGCCGCCTGCCGCGAGAAGGCCTGCCCCCCTCGCTCGCCCCGCCTCGGGGGGGGATGGGGAGGCGTGGGTGCAGGAGGAAGAGGAGGAGGAGGAAGAGGAAGAGGAAGAGGAGGAGGAGGAAGAGGAGGAGGAGGAGGAAGAGGAGGAGGAGGAGGAGGAGGAAGAGGAGGAGGAGGAGGAGCCGATGAGCGCGGCGGCGGAGCTCCGTGTGCGGGGCGCCCCAGCGTCCCACAGACAGGCTGGGCAGCCAGGGCGCCCGGACGCCGAGCGCGGCGGTCCCTCCCCCTCGAGGTGCGTCCACGCAAGGGCTTCGCCCTTCGGTGGGTCTACACCTCAGGCGATGCTTAAGAAAACGTAAGTTTTCGGCCAGAGTCTCGATTATTCTTAACGTTTCAATGTAAATCTTGAGATTTTAATGGACATGTTGGGTTTTTTATTCAAGTTCTGAGACTATGAATTTCTTAACCCATGATTTCTTAAGCATTTCGCAGGGTGTAGTGCGAGTGTGGTGTTCCTGCCCTCTGCAGAGCGGCCCAGAACATTTGGCAGGATTTACAGTGGGGGCGCGCATCCAAAACAACCGCAAGGTGTTTCGTCGGGGCATCCTGGGTTTCCTCGCTCCGCGAGCTGAGCGGTGACTTCCCGCAGCCGTAGAAGAAGCTGCTGCGTTCAGGGTGCTCTGGGTTTCCCCTCAAGTGCACCTCGCGCGCGGGTTTTCAGGGTTGGGTTTCTTGCGAGTTTTTCTTGCGGCCGCGCCCGCACTGTACCGTGGGAGGGGTCCGGCGACGGCACGGATGGCTTTCGCCGGGGTTGGCTTTCGCCGGGCTTCGTTTCGCCGGGCTTCGTTTCGCCGGGCTTCGTTTCGCCGGGGTTGGCTTTCGCCGGGGTTGGCTTTCGCCGGGGTTGGCTTTCGCCGGGGGTTGGCTTTCGCCGGGGCTGGCTTTCGCCGGGTTGGCTTTCGCCGGGTTGACTTTCGCCGGGGTTGACTTTCGCCGGGGTTGGCTTTCGCCGGGTTGGCTTTCGCCGGGGTTGGCTTTCGCCGGGTTTGCTTTCGCCGGGGTTGGCTTTCGCCGGGGTTTGCTTTCGCCGGGGTTGGCTTTCGCCGGGGCCGGGCGGGGAGCAGGCGGGGCAGGCTCAGGGGCAAAAGCAGGCGCCGCCGTCGCTGGCGTGGCGGGGCGGGTCGCGCCGGGTCGGGCGGACCCTAGCGGGCGGGTCGGGTCGGGCGGGCGAGACACTAAAGTGTGGGGCGCGCTCGAGTGAGCACGCGTGGACCCTAACAGGCGGGACGGGTCGGGTCGGGCGGACCCTAACGGGCGGGACGGGTTCGGGTCGGGCGGACCCTAACGGGCGGGTCGGGTCGGGCAGGCGGGACACTGAAAGGTGGAGGCGCGCTCGAGGAAACACGCGTGAACCCTGACGGGCGGGTCGGGTGGGGCAGGCGGACCCTGGCGAGCGAAGCGGGTCGGATCGGGTCGGGCGGACCCTAGCGGGCGGACGAGTCGGGCGGCCGGGGCACTGAGGTGTAGTGAGCACGCGTGAACCCTGACATACCCTGACGGGCGGGTCAGGTCGGGTCGGGCGGACCCTGGCGGGCGAAGCGGGTCGGGTCGGGTCGGGCAGACCCTAACGGGCGGGTCGGGTCGGGCGGGCGGGACACTAAAGTGTGGGGCGCGCTCGAGTGAGCACGCGTGAACCCTAACGGGCGGGTCGGGTCGGGCGGACCCTAACGGGCGGGTTGGGTCGGGCGGCCGGGGCACTGAGGTGTAGTGAGCACGCGTGAACCCTGACATACCCTGACGGGCGGGTCAGGTCGGGTCGGGGCGCGACGTGGCGGGGAAAGCTGGGTCGGGTTCGGGTGGGCGGGCAGACCCATAACGGGCGGTGGGTCGGGCGGGCGGGACACTGTTTATTTTTTTTTTTTTTTTTTTTTTTTTTTTTTTTTTAGTAAAGGTGTGGGGCGCGCTCGGACGTGAGCACGCGTGAACCCTAACGGCGGGTCGGGTAGGGTTCGGGCCGGACCCTGAGGCGGGCGGGTTCGGGTCGGGCGGACCCTAACGGGCGGATCGGGTCGGGAGGGCGGGGCACTGAGGTGTGGGGCGCGCTCGAGTGAGCACGCGTGAACTCTGACGGGTGGGTCGGGTCGGGTCGGGCGGACCCTGGCGGGCGGGGCGGGTTCGGGCCGGGCGGACCCTAACGGGCAGGTCGGGTCGGGCAGGCGGGACACTAAAGTGTGGAGGCGCGCTCGAGTGAGCACGCGTGAACCCTGACGGGCGGGCCGGGTGGGGCAGGCGGACCCTGGCGGGCGCGGGTCGGGTCGGGTCGGGCGGACCCTAACGGGCGGGTCGGGTGAAGCGGGCGGGACATTAAAGTGTCGGGCGGGTCGGGTCGGGCGGGCGGGACGCTGAGGTGAGGGGCGCGCTCGAGTGAGCACGCGTGAACCCTAACGGGCGGGTCGGGTCGGGTCGGGCGGACCCTAACGGGCGGGGCGGGTCGGGTCGGGTCGGGATCGGTAAGAGGAGCATCAGCAGCAGCATGAAAGAACAGGAGAGGGAAGAGGAGAAGAGGAAGAGGAGGGCGAAGCTGAACCCAGGCGAAAACGAGCCCGGGCGAAAGCCAACCTGGGCGAAAGCCAACCGGGCGAAAGCCAACCCGGGCGAAAGCCAACCAGGCGAAAGCCAACCCGGGCGAAAGCCAACCGGGCGAAAGCCAATTGGGCGAAAGCCAACTTGGGCGAAAGCCACCCCGGGCGAAAGCCAACCGGGCGAAAGCCAACCCGGGCGAAAGCCAACCCGGGCGAAAGCCAACCCGGGCGAAAGCCAACCCGGGCGAAAGCCAACCGGGCGAAAGCAAACCCGGGCGAAACAAACCGGGCGAAACGCACCGGGCGAAAACCAACCCGGGCGAAAAACATCTACGCCCCGGCGACGACGTCGACGTCGTTTCTGATTCTAGAGGCTCTCGCCGTCACAGTTGGACGCGGCTCGGGAGACTGGCCAGGGTGGACCCAGGGAGGGGTCTGGGGTCCGGTTTCTCAACGGTCTCCATCTTTCTCGCCAGATTTCTTCTCGGTCCCTTGTCCTCTTCCTCCTTCATCCTTCCCCAGGCCCTCCTCGTTATTCCCCTCCTCCTTTCTTCTCCACAGCTTTCACAACCTCCTCCCGCTCCTCTAACTCCTCCTTCTTCTCCCTCGCAGGAATCCTTTCTGGAAATTCCCCACGGCCTCCAGACGCCTCCAGAACACGACGGAAACCTCCGGAAGCCTTTGGAACAATTTCGGAGCTCATGCTGATCACCACCCTCGGTCGTGGTTGCCAGACGCGTGCAAGCGCGTGCAAAGTGGAGTGCGAGCGGGCGCCCTGCGAGGTACCTCAGGGGCCACTTCGCGGTCAACCTGATCGGAGGGGAGGGCATGCGGGGCATGGCGCAGGGGTCGACCTAAACGGTGCTTTGGCGATTTCGTGGGCCGCTTCCGTTTTGATTCTGTTTCGCAGCAGAGGCGGAACGAGGACAGAACGAAGGACAGCGAAAATGACACGACCACGAAAAGCATCGTGTTGGTCGAGCCCTGGAGGGGAGGGCATGCAGGGAGAGCCGCAGGGCATGGCGCAGCTGTGTATATGGCCATCTCTGCATATGCTCCCTCGAGGAGGGGGCGGGGGGGGGGGAGAAGGCGAGGGGGGGGGAGAGCAGGCAGGGGCAGGGAAGGGGGGAGGGATCGGAGGGAGTGGAGGTGAGGGGGAAAGGGGCCCAGACATCCGACGCCCCAAAAATTGGAGCCCGCGGCTTTTGGCTGTTTTCGGCCTCTGAGGGCCCTCGCCGGGCCTCGGGACCGTCAAAACACGATTCGGGACTAAGAACCGCCCCTTGGGAAGTGGTCCAGACCTCCAGGGCCCACGCATCAACAAAATTGGAGCAGCTGGATGTCTGGGGGAGGGGACGATCAGGAGGGACAAACATACAGACGCAATGAATGACACAATGATTCGCTGACTCCCAGGAAAGATGTGGAAAGTATGGGATGTGGAGGGGAAGACGAGCATCCAGAAGATAGGTAAACATATGGGGGAATCCTGGGAATTGTGTCTGTTAATGTCTGTGTGTGTGTGTTTCCCTGGGCCCCTTCAGGCGAGAGGGGAAGG